GTCTGTCTGTCTGTCCGTCTGTCCGTCCGTCCTTCTGTCCGTCCCCTTCAGCGCCTAGTGCTCAAAGACTATTAGAGCTAGAGCAACGATGTTTTGGATACAGACTTCTGTGATATGTCACTGCTACAAAAATATTTCAAAACTTTACCCCGCCCACTTCCGTCCCCACAAAGGACGAAAATCTGTGGCATCCACATTTTTAAAGATACGATAAAAAACGCAGAATCGTAGAGAATGACCATATCTTTTAGACTGCAGAATCTGAATTGGATCGTATTATTATTATAGCCAGGCGCCTTTTCTTAGAGTAAAACATTAGCGCCTAGATCTCAGAGACTATAAAAGCTAGAGCCACCAAATTTGGTGTCCACACTCCTAATATATCGGACCGAGACGAGTTTATTTCAAAATTTCGCCACACCCCCTTCCGCCCCCGCAAAGGATGCAAATCTGGGGATATTCACAAATCTCAGAGACTATTAAGGCTAGAGTAGGTTAGGTTAGGTTAGGTAGAGACGGCCGCCAAGCTCGCTCGGAGCCCAGCACACATAGGCCGGTTTCGGCCCGTTGTGATACCGTTTGGGATCATTCCCTCCCTGCAGATGAGACTTCATGTCAACAGTTGTCCCATCCAGATGCCCTTATAAAGTTGACGATCTTTCTGGGACATAGCGTGGACATCTCCGAGATGTCGTTCAGAAAGGCAGAGCCCAAGTGATGCAGCCTCCTTCTGCTGAGAGCTGGACAGGAACAGAACAGGTGTTCCACTGTTTCCTCCTCGTCCTCGTCTCTGCAGCTGCGGCAGAAATCATTGTATGGGGCACCCAGCCTGTTTGCGTGGGTGCCTACTAGCCAGTGTCCTGTGAGGGAACGTATGACTGCGCTGCACCTTTCCCTGCCTAGTTTGCAGAGCTCTGAGGTGCGCTTCTTATCTATGGTCGGCCATGTTTGCCGAGCTGTGCGACAACGTGGCCCTGTTTGCCACTTGTTGTCTATCAGTAGCGTGTACTGCTCTTTTATGATGAGCTTGCAGGTGGCCATAGGCATACAAATATCCACCTTATCTTGGAGAAGGGGGGTTGTAGTGCCAGATCTGGCCAGCTCGTCCGCTATGCAGTTGCCCTCGATATCCCGGTGACCCGGGACCCATATAAGGCTGATAGCAAATTGCTGAGCCATCTCGTGAAGAGATCTGCGGCACTTCGCCACAGTAGCCGAGTTCGAGGAGATCGCGTTAAGTGATCTGATCGCAGCTTGGCTGTCGCTGTAGATGTTTAGATTGGTTGCCGTGGTGGTAACCGTATGAAGGCAGTACAGAGCCTCCCTGATTGCTGTAACTTCCGCTTGGAAGACGCTACAGTGATCCGGAAGCCTGAAAGATTGCCTTATGTTAAGTTGTTCAGAGTAGATTCCTCCTCCAACCCTGCCGTCCAGTTTTGAGCCATCCGTGAAGATGCTTATGGCCCCGTCTGGGCCGGGGGGTCCCTCGAGCCAATCGTCTCTATGAGGGATGATTATGCTGAATGGAGTCTCCGTGTGCTCCATTGGAACTTGATAGTCCGTTCTTGCTGGGACCTTGTTGTTTTTGTTTAGTATAGATGAGTGACCTATGTTCTGGGGTACCCATTGGTCAGAGTCCCTAAGACGTATTGCTGCCATTTCTGCCCGCTCCTTTCCTGCAAAGTCAAGGCTCTGAAGGCATAACATGGCGTTTAGCGCATCATTTGGTGTAGTTCGAAGAGCTCCACTGATGCAGAGGGCGGCTGTTCGCTGAACCTTGCCCAGCTGATTGGTTATTGTCCTTTTCGCTAGGGCAGGCCACCAGACAGTAACTCCGTAGAGTATTATAGGTCTGACTATTGCCAGATATATCCATCGGACTATGCTTGGGTTCATGCCCCACTTTAGGCCGATAGCTTTTTTGCAAGTATAGAGTGCTGTCGTTGCCTTCCTCACTCTATCCTTGACATTCAGGTTCCAGCTGAGCTTTTTGTCAATTACCAACCCTAAGTAACTGGCACTGTCGCTGAAGGAGAGCCTGTATCCGTTTAGTGTTGGGGGGTTGAGGGGCGGGACCTTGTATTTTTTTGTGAATAACACGAGTTCCGTTTTCGAGGGATTTAGTCCCAATCCGCGCGATTCTGTCCATTGGGACAATCGAGCAAGCTTTGCAGTCATTAGGTCGCATAGTGTTTGGGGGTATTTCCCCGCAAAGATAATTGCAACGTCATCCGCGTATGCCACTACTTTACAGCCCCCCTCTTCCAGGTCGCAAAGAATCTTATTGACTGCAATGTTCCATAGAAGAGGAGACAGAACTCCCCCTTGCGGGGTTCCTCTGTTGACATACCTTGACTGGGTGGACGATCCCATCGATGATGTCACCGTACTGCGTATGAGCAATTGATCAATGAGCATCACCAAGTGACGGTCCACCCCCAGGTCAGTCAGGGCTTCTGTAATGGCGCCCGGTGTGACGTTATTGAAGGCTCCCTCGATATCGAGAAAAGCTATTAGTGAGTATTCTTTGAGATGCAGGGATTTTTCTACACTCGAGATCACTTCGTGAAGTGCCGTTTCTGTGGATTTTCCTTTCCGGTAGGCATGCTGCGCACTTGAGTACAGCTGGGGACTTATGGTAGTACGTAATTGTAGCCCGATAAGTCTCTCAAAGGTTTTGAGTAGGAAAGACGATAAACTGATTGGTCTAAAGTCTTTTGGGGTTGAGTGTGAGGCTTTGCCTGCTTTAGGGATGAAAACTATCCTAGCCTTAAGCCACGCTTGCGGTATTATACATACCGCCAGTATCTTCCTGAAGATACTATGTAGCCAGTTGATGGCCGTCTCACCGGCCCTCTGAAGCTGGGCCGGGATTACCTGGTCCGGGCCTGGCGATTTAAACGGGTTGAAGCTGTTTACTGCCCAACTTATGTTCCGTTTTGTAAGGATATGGTCCATCGATACTACCGATCCCTCTCTTGGGAGGTATGACGGCTCGGTGGATGTGCATCCGGGGAAGTGCGTGTCGAGCAAAATATGCAGGGACTCCTCACTAGAGTTGGTCCACGTGCCATCATTCTTTTTGAGGTACCCTACCGAGGGGGTGGTTTTTGAGAGAACTTTCCGGAGTCTTGCGGCCTCCTCCGTCTGGGTTGACGACAGGAAGCGCCGCGGCCGCCGCGTCCGATTTGTACACCTTGATGGTGACCGAGCTGAAGCCGAAGTTTAGCTCTCCTTTTGCTGCCTCTATCGGGGCCAGCGACTCTTTATTGAGAACGAGAACTGCCTGGTTAGTCGGCCCTTGTGTCGTCTCAACTTTGGCTACCTTCCAATCGGAGGTTGGTAGTCCTGGGTTGCACCTCTGCAACATCTTGAGGATGCGTTCTGGCTCCTTAAAGGTAGCCGGCACCCAAATTCTGGCCCTCGGTCTGCTGGGCACCTCGCTCCAGTCGACTGCGACGAGTTTCGCCCCAGCATAAACCTCGCCGACCTGCGCTACCGCCGCTTTGTACAGCTTCACTGAGCGCTCGTCTTCGCAGGCAATTATCTTTACATTGCCCTGGAACCACCCCATGTCCTTGCAGACTGGCGGAGGTCCAGGGTCTTTGTCGAGGAGTTCGAAGCAGCGGTCGGCCAATGCCGCTTCCACCCACTTCCACTGACTCCTTGGGATTCTCCCCTCTGCGCTGCCTTTGTCGAGGACACCAATTAGCGTCCTCTCCTTGGCAATCTGCGCAAAGGAGACATTTGGCAGCACTCTGGAGCGCTTTGCTACCGGTCCCGGTGTCTCCTGCGAGCGCTGCCTCTTGGCTTGGGGAGCCACCTTTTTCTGTTCTAAGGTGAACTCCGGAAGTACGGCCGAAGCCCATTCCACCTTCTTCAGCCATTCGGCTGATGTGCTGGCTTCACTGCTGGCGTGTTGCCGACGGAGTATGTGCCCTGCACTCCTCTTTTCGGCATATGAGTATCGTCTGGCTTGGGCACTTGTCGACGGCAAGTCAACCCCCTCCGCTTTACCAGAAGGTCGGGCAGCCGAAATATTGCTTAGCTTCCCTTCCAAGGTGTCAGCTTCGGGAGTCACCTTGCCACCCACACCGGATTCGGGATGGGACCCCCTCGGGTTCGCACAGGCACCTTCCACCTTGTAGGTATTCCCCACTATAGAGCCAGTTGGGCCAGGCCTTTGGGCCGCTGCCTTTCCGAGCTTGGGATTGCTCCCAGTTGGCATTTGGGGAGCGCCGCACTCATTTGTTTTTTTGTTGGTTTTTTTGTTTTTATTGTTATACATCTTGTTCCCACGAGATGCAGAGAAAGGGAAAGGTCAGCCCGGGCAGAGATCCACGTTGCCCGGGTAAGGCATCATTAAAACAGGGGGCTGCCAAGTCCCTGAGCCCTCCGTTAGAGACTGGGCTATTTTTTATACCGAGCCCCCAGCCAGGCTGACTCTCGGCACGGGTCGAGTAACACACTTAGTCCGGCCCGGTGTGAGGTGGATGTGGGGGTTGGGATGTGGGATATTGAGGCGGCACCACAAGCGCATCGTCAGTGTTGCTGCTTCGCGAACACCCGCTGGCTGTCCGGGACTGCTTATTTCGGTACTCTCCCGTGAGGGATGCCCGCTTATTCGCAGCTGACCTACCGAGGTAGGCCGTTCGCTATCCGCAACCCGCGACCCGTCCGGTGGCCTCAGCTAGGCCCCCTTTGAGCTACCTCACAAGCTCATCAGACCAGAAAGGCTAGAGTAACCAAATTTAGTATCCGCACTCCTGTTAGATCTCACTATAAAACGCATATCTGAAAATTTCGCCCCACCCCCTTCCGCCCACACACAGGCAATCAGAATTGTTGAATAAAGCACGCACACATACTGTAAAGCCAGGAATGAGATTTCGACTACTATGGACAGCAGTGAGGGTGAGGTCGGCGGGTCCTCGGGTGGTGGCGTCTCCGATCTTCGTGAGCGACTGCATAACATACTGGTGTGCGTTGTGTGCCGCGAGGTTCCACAACCACACGACTTCTATCAGTGCAGCCATGGGCATATCATGTGTGAGGACTGCAAGACCGCCGTTCTGGCTGTTGCCATCTTCAATAAAACGCGTGCCTGCTGCCCAAGTTGTCGATCGCTCATTAGAAACTACGATCAGGAGCAGAATCTAGTGGTGCGCCAGACCCTCTGGGAGCTACCCATCAGCTGCCCCAGCTGCAATGACCAGTTCTCAGATAGGAAAGATCTCTCCAGACACTTGGAGTTCGTTTGTGAGGGGCGTGTGGTTTGCTGGAAGTACCACTGCGTGGGCTGTTCTTGGAAGGGCTCCTACAAGGACAGCGTCTCACATGATTCCGACTGTGGGTTTCCCCAGAAGCAGGGAAAGGAGATCCTAGATATTCTGCTGCATGTCGAAGACAGGGAGCTTGAGGCCCAAAAGCCCGTGTTGCAGCTCCATCGGGTGCTGAGTGCTAGCCGGGTGGAATTTTTCACCTTGAGAATGAAGTGGATACACCGCTCAGAGGGTTTTGGAGAACCAGAACTCGTCTGCAGCATACCTCTGATGATCTCTTATCCCGATCCCCACAGACGATTCGTGCCTTTGAGGAGGATTGGGTGCTGCGTCTACGTCTGAAAAGAGCTGGGGAAAAAATCACCGTCAGCGGCCAGCTATTGCTTTCGACTACCCCACGAGTGTCCCTCCTGGTTGACCATTTGATCCAGATGCCGCAGAGTGTCTGCAGCGCCAAGCAGCTGCACGACATACGCCCGCGTATCTACCGCCATATTTTCGATTCAACCGGCAAGTGCGCAAAGCGCCAGGAGCTTCCCTTGGCGACCTCAGGCCCTGTACCGGCTATTTGCCATGACCCGGATCCAGCTCCGTTTGTGGATGTTTTTGCATTATTGAGCTGACGCTAAAAACCTTTAAATTGTGGTTTAAACCTTTATTGGGCACATCTTTTGATTTGATTTTTAAATTCGTTGCTTTAGAGCTGCATTTTTAGGGTTTGGGCGCCTTCTGGATCTGCTCGTTCACAGCAAGACCTTCTTCAGCAGCAGCCTTGGCCTTATCATGGAAGTCGTGCAGAAGCAATCGAGTAAATTAGGCATACGTTTTTGTCTGGTCTGTTAAGGTCGGCTAGTGTCGGCTAGACTTACCTTAACGCTATCCTCGATGAAAAATTCCTTGACCTTTGCCAGCAGGCCGTTGAGCTGAGCCTCAACTGGCTTGGTGGGCTCCTCACGAGGCACGCGAGCACACATGCACACCTGAAAGCAGAGTTACAGTAAAACCACAATGAGTCAAAGCAATCTTGGCTATTTTTGGTTTTTAGTTTGTTTCACTGGTCCTGCTCTTTACTGAAGAACGTTGACTTGAGTACTCATAGCGACAGCTCGTTTTGCGTCGCAGCCGAGATGAAACCGAGAGCCGGGCTTATTACCGGCGCCACTATCAAGGTCCGCTCAGATAAGAGAGTGGAGTGAAGTAGAGTGCTAAAAGTAGAGTTATAGACTATGTAGCATACTATGTGGGCATGGAGGACATTTTACTACCCATTTAGAGCTCTGGCAAATGGTCGAGATAAGAATTTATATAAAAAAAAATCGCGTACGAGTAGGAAAAGGATACTAGGAAACGGGATACAGGGGGTCAAAGGGACAGATCAGCATGGATACGTAAACGAAGAAGATCACCGGTCAGATCTTTGTCGGCTGCGGTATAGCTCATTGGCGAGAACGCCCACCCTACCATGATCCTTCAGGGCCACCTATTAACAGTCAGGATCCCTTCAAATAAGCCTGCTATTCGATATTATCTTACATTTATAGGGTATTACTATACAGCATATACTGGGGAAGGAATATCATAAGGGCGAGGTAGGGTATAATGATCTTAAATCTATAAAACTGATTAGTAGTAGGTATATATAAATGCACGAGCATGTATAAAACCGTGATTATGGTTGAAGACCAACGAATAGTTACCGCACATTCATTCTTTTCAGATGGGGGTTAAATCGGTGGTACTGGCACGTGTCCGGGAATAACCAATCCGTAACTTCTAGACCAGCGTTGTAATACATAGATACTAGTGGTGCTAATCCTACGCGGAAAAAACAGGAATTTTTCAACGGGTCTCTGTAGCTGGGTGGATAATTACCTCAACAGAATTACACCACTGATCGAAAAATTTTACTGAACTGTGGGCGTTCGTTTTCCAAATGGTCGAACGGCTGCCCCAGTATTGACGATATATAACTGGCGCGTCCACTCAAATTAAATGATCACTTTGAGCCGCACTTGGCACTTGCACTAGGCTTTGACTTTGGCTTGACCTTGGTTTAGAGAACTGGGTCAGCTCTACAAGACTTCTTTTTCCACGGCCGGTCACTCTGACGGTCACGAGGGGAGAAATAAAGAGGCTGGGACTACTAAAAACAGCAAACCACGTTTTTCCACACTTTCTATGGTCTTCTTCTGTTATACAGGATCCAGACACAGCAATATTTAATAAAATATAGTGCACGGCAGAAAAATTGCATATCAAAGCGTTGCCGCTTGGTCGCAAAACAGCTCTTGATAAGCTTTATCAAAGCTCACAAGATCTTCAACTCGAATTTTTTTACAGCCTAGTTTTAGGCTGTAATTTTGGGAGTTAGCCGTGGATAATTAAAATACAAGAAGACACGATAAGCGTCGAATATTACACCCCCCGCTGAAATCACAGTTTGGGGTCTTGCTAACCAAAGCGTGATCCACACTTGGAGTGCTGGATACGATTTATTGTTTAATATCATTTGCGTGATATTTACCAATAAAGCGACCCTGGAAATCTTTTCTTAATGCGGGCTTTCCGAAACGTAGGTGCCAGTTTCGCATCAATGCCTTTCACAAAACTACTCTGGTCAAAATTTCGTCTATACACTTCTTGACCCACTTGAAAGTTTACTTCTCGGCTTCGAAGATTATAGATATTTTCATTGCGAACATGCTGCTGTTTCATTGCTTCTGCAGCGGTCTTGCGAATTAGCTCGAAGGAATCGTCGCGATCGAAGACTACTGTTCGGTTCTCCAACATACTGAGGTTTCGTAGGAGTTGATTAGTGGAACCGCCAGTAATCATGTTTTGGCCAAAAGCAACAGGATATGGGCTACTTTTGATGGCTGCATGCACACTGGATTGATCGGGCTTAATGTACGCTTTGATAGCAGCGAGTACCGAGCGATTTACCCGCTCTGAGGTATTGGTTTGGGGAGCGTAGGCGGCGGTGTACGAATGTCGAATTTGGTGTTTCGCTAACAGATCCTTGAACTTGTGTGACTTGAATTGAACGCCGTTATCTGACACTATCACTTCCGGGACTCCAAAGCACTGAAACAGGTCTTCCTCCATGAACCGAGTTACGGCATCCGCAGTAAATTTCTTTACCACTTTTAGGAAAGGAAATTTAGAAAAATGATCGAGTACTACAAAAATGCCTATATTCCCGGATCGACTTCGGGGGTACGGACCTAGAAAATCGACGTAAAGTTTTTGAAATAGACGAAATGTCTCCCCTGCTTTGCCCATTGGCGGACGTAGAGGATGATTGGGATGCTCGGTCGTTCCTATTCGAGGAAGTCGGTCAGCTGTACTCTTCGTCGCCCAAAAAAAGCATAACATCTAATTCGTTAATTTCCTTCCTGTTTTGCTACTCAAAAAAAATTCGCTTCAGCAGCGATCAAATACAAAACGAGGGGGAACGTTGTGAGTTGCTGCGGACACCGCAACTCTAGAGTTATACCCGATACTAAGTCAGTATGGCTCTCCTCCGGCAGACGCCGCTAATATTTAACGACACGACAAAGAGTGCGTGCGAGAGAGACAGAAAATCAGTCTGAGCGTGACGTCGGGCGCTGCGTAGCCACTGCAAATTGATTTGTTCCTTTTGGCTACAAAAATGATCTGATATGATCCAGATTCAGCAATCTGATAGATATGGTCGTTATCTATGATTCTGCGTTTTTAGTTTTCTCGAATCTGCAATATTGTGGATGCAACAGATTTTCGTCCTTTGTGGGGGCGGATGGGGGTGGGGCGAAATTCTGAGATATACGTTTTATAGTGACATCTTAAAGGAGTGTGTGTACCAAATTTGGTTACTCTAGCCTTAATAGTCTCTGAGATTTGTGGTTGCCTCAGATTTTCGTCCTTTGCGGGGGCGGAAGGGGGTGTGGCGAAATTTGGGCATGAAACGGTCAAGGTTCGATATCACAGGAGTGTGGATACCAAATTTGGTTGCTCTGGCTTTTATAGGTTCTGAGATCCTTGAACTCATATTTTGCAATTGGCAAAACCGACCATGAAACCTGTGTGTTAGAGTGAGACAGAGCGAGAAAGAGTGAAATTGTTTTCGTGATTCTGGCTATAATAATTATACGATCTGGTTCAGATTTTGCACTCTAGAAGATATAGTCATCTTCTACGATTCTGCGTTTTTAGTTTTATCGTATCGTCGAAATTGTGGATGCCACAGATTTTCGCCCTTTGTGGGGGCGGAAGTGGGCGGGGCAAAGTTTTGAAATATTTTTGGAGCAGTGACATATCACAGAAGTCTGGATCCAAAACATCGTTGCTCTAGCTCTTATAGTCTTTGAGCATTAGGCGCTGAAGGGGACGGACAGACGGACAGACGGACAGACGGACGGACGGACGGACGGACAGACAGACAGGGCTCAATCGACTCGGCTATTGATGCTGATCAAGAATATATATACTTTATAGGGTCGGAAACGATTCCTTCTGGACGTTACACACATCCACTTTTACCACAAATCTAATATACCCCAATACTCATTTTGAGTATCGGGTATAAAAAAACGAGGGGGAACGTTGTGAGTTGCTGCGGACACCGCAACTCTACGGTTATACCCGATACTAAGTCAGTATGGCTCTCCTCCGGCAGACGCCGCTAATATTAAACGACACGACAAAGAGTGCGTGCGAGAGAGACAGAAAATCAGTCTGAGCGTGACGTCGGGCGCTGCGTAGCCACTGCAAATTGATTTGTTCCTTTTGGCTACAAAAATGATCTGATATGATCCAGATTCAGCAATCTGATAGATATGGTCGTTATCTATGATTCTGCGTTTTTAGTTTTCTCGAATCTGCAATATTGTGGATGCAACAGATTTTCGTTCTTTGTGGGGGCGGAAGGGGGTGGGCCGAAATTCTGAGATATACGTTTTATAGAGAGATCTAACAGGAGTGCGGATACTAAATTTGGTTACTCTAGCCTTAATAGTCTCTGAGATTTGTGAATATCCCCAGACTTGCATCCTTTGCGGGGGCGGAAGGGGGTGTGGCGAAATTTTGAAACAAACTCGTCTCGGTCCGATATATTAGGAGTGTGGATACCAAATTTGGTTGCTCTAGCTTTTATAGTCTCTGAGATCTAGGCGCTAATGTTTTACTCTAAGCAAAGCCGCCTATACTACGTGTGTGTTAGAGAGAGACAGGGCGAGAAAAAATGATATTGTTTTCTTGATGCTGGCTATATTAATAATACGATCCAATTCAGATTCCGCAGTGTATAAGATATGGTCATTCTCTACGATTCTGCGTTTTTGGTTTTATCTTATCTTTAAAAT